TTAGCTCAATGTCTCCCAGTCTGTCTTCCTTGCTATGACCAAACTGGCCTCCACTGAATTTCACTGGAACGGGTACAGTGCAGTTACTGATTTGTCACTGTGTCATCAGAACAGCCTCTCTGACTTTCACCAACACACAACTTCTCCCCCTTACACATTACCTCCAATTAAACAGTAGGCAATTAACTCCACAAAGGACCATAGGACTAGATCCACTTTAGCTGCTGCTTCATTCCATAGCATCATAGTATTTCATGAGACTTAGCATTTGCTCTTGTAAAGTCCCTTCAGTACATGAGTTTCTGCTATGGCAGATGTGGAGGAACCTCAGTCTCACCAACACTGGCTGAGGAATATCTGTGCTTCCAGATAGGATGCTGAACAAAGCATCACCTCCCTAATCTCACTACTGGTGGGATTTGGTGGCTCTCGCTGAATGATCCTTGCACAAAGAGCAACTACAGGACAGCTTCTCTTCCTCCTTTGTATTTTTGGTGCTCCACGTCCCAGAAACACACTAAGCACAGCACTACAGAGCTCAGTACAACTACAGGTAACAGTGTCCTGCAGTACTGTTGTCTGACACCTCCAGTACCTCTCTTCTGCTCCACTGACTTTATTTTCTAAGGGATGAAGTCAACATGGTTTAGGTGCCAGGCAAACACCAAGAGAACGTTGCTCAGAAATTGAGGCAGAAAGAGGTTTAGGTGGTTTTAACTGCAGGGAGTTGGGTGTTTTGCACAAACTAAGCCATTTATCATAGGGACTTCTGAGAATCCTTTTTACAAAAATCTATGTCTTGTTACATATTGTACAGCAAGCCCTGGTGTACCAGGAGGAGCAAGGGCACTCCAGTGAGGCTGGCTGTTTCACTAGACAGCAGAGAAACCTAAGATCTGGCAGGAATTATACCTCCTTGTGGATCCCACCATGTTAGAAGTATAACACAATATCTATACAGGGAAAAACAGAAGCTAGATTTCAGCAGTCAGGCTTAGTTAGCAAGTTAGCTGAGCCTGGTATCAACCAAACTGTTCATCTCATCCATAATTTTTCCTCAGAACTGGAAATAACTCAGATGCTAGACATGGGCTTTTGGAAACTGGAAAAACAGGTGGGAAGAAAGAAAAAATGGTACCAAATAGAGTGCAATACTCCAACTCCTTTGTTTCATCTCTAATGCAGAACATACTTAATAACAAGTATGTCTAAGAAATAGACTAACTGCTTGCAAGCAGGAAGGGTGTGTATTTCCACTCTCTGCTTAGATGGCACACATAAAAAAAAAAAACCCAAACAAACATTATTCCTTGCTGTGGGTAAGTCTGCGTGTCTTGATGAAAATTAATTGTAATCATGTTAAGAACATTCAGTTGTTAATTTTTTCTAAAGCAAGCTTTAGCTATGTGGGTGAATGGGGTTTTGGTCTTACACCTGCAGAAAAAGTGACTCGTTTAAGATCACACCAGAAGGCTTTGCCAGAACACCGTATCTGTATGCTGTAATTGGCACACAGATACCATATACACTGGTATATTTTTATTTACTGGAGGTACTTCAGAGCTTTGTAGTGCAGATGCTGTTTTCCAGCCACAGCAACCATTTAAAAACTAGAAGTTACTTCTCCGAGAGAAAACTGGGATTATATCAAAGCAGTTCAGTTCCTCACAACAGAACTCTGTGCTTGGTTTCCAATACCAAAATTGTAACATCGCAACTTTTTCATAAGAATTAAATGGAAACAGAAATAAAGGGGGAAGAAAAAGCTTTTAGAGTGTTAACTCTCCACGGCAGGAGGAAGCCAGCATGGGCATTGAGCTCGGCACACTCATCCCCTTCTCCCTGCTGAAAGGGACACAAAAAGAACTCTGGCTAAGCATTTATTTTTCTGCTAATGTGAAAGTTTTCTTTTAAAGAGGAAGCAGATTGAACAGAGCACGAGAAAAGAATTTGACTCTGGCTTATTTCCAAAGGGTTTTTTTTCCTGATGATTCACTGTTATCACTTGTATTCACATTACAACTAGCCTCAAAAAGAAATACCCAAAACCGAAACCAACTCCCCCCTACACCCAACAACAAAAAACCCATACCACAAAAGCACTAAGAAATAGGATCCTTCCTACTGCTAAATTCTGCTAATAAGCAATATAAGAGAATGATGTAAGATAAGAGTGCCTATGCTCGTTCACATTTGAGTAGTAACATTGCTAAGCCTCTAGATCTGGAACTTTAGAGCACATCTAAAGACGGTGAATCTCCAAGGTATTAAACAAAATGGTTGACGCTGATTGAACTGTGTTTTACCTCAGCTATATAATAAAATAGAAAATGTTTAAATATGTCTGAAGTCTAAAATGTTTAAATTTTCAGCATAGTCTTTCCAGTAGTTTTATTTTCAAACAGGACTCTGTTTGGATATTCAGAGAGGAGATATAACTGCTAATTCTCTGAAAACATGAACAATACAAATTTTTATATTTGTGGGAGCCCTCTCGCCCTCAGCCCTGGTGGCAGTCAATTGTGAATGCCCAGTTTCTGCAGCAATTCACAAACATACCACTTTTACACGGACATTCAAGCTAAAAGGAGGTAAAGCAAGGCCAAAAGAAGGAGTGCTGGTAGGATTACTGTGTTACTGTGCATGTGATTAAAAGAAAATGAGGATGCTTGCCAGAGGCTTCTGCTACTTACACCCCTTGACACAACCGAGCACACAATTTCATCCTCCTGTCTGCAATGCTATTAACAGACAGGTAGGGATGTAAAGCTAACTTGAGCCCAAACACAAATCTATAATTTCAGTAAAGTTTTGTTTCCATTTTCAGGAGTAGATGTAAGTTTTACCTGCTGACGTATTCCAGGGCAAAGATTGCGTGAGCAGGGCTCAACACAGCAGGATCTACAGAACAACTGATTTTTTTTCTAGTTCAAGTGATCAGCACAATTACCACTACAGTGCTACTAATAAAAGAGACAGACACAATGCTTTCTTACCCCATCATGACCGTACCATGACTTCTGGTTCATTTTTTTCATGGAACAGAACTGTCTTGCATCCTTGCAACCAGACCTGGATCAATTCTAGCTGGAAGAAAGCCTGTACCAAACAGCAGCAAGCAGATCTTGTTTAGTATGACTGAAGCTCTATGCTCCAGACGTTCATAAAAACTCAACATCCACAACTTCTCATAAGTATCAGTCACAGTAAGATTCCTAATTCCCCCCTCACCTCCCATTTTCGGGACCCCTACCACTAGCGCAGATCATTATATTTTTGGGTTCAAACATACAATTCCCCTCCCATCTGCCACCCTTAGCCCAAAGGGTTTGTAGTTTTTCTGACACCCATCTAGGAGTCCCAGGCTTATAATTTGGAGGAAGGGTGAGATCCAAGCATGAAAGTGTGATGCTGTCCTCCCCTAACGTTTGGAGGCCATACACTCACGTGGGACTATGACACAGCTTATGACACAGCCCAGCAGTATGTGGGTGCTGGTGTTTAGGACCCCATAGACCGCCCAGCCTATACTTGACAGAGAAAAGTGTATCATTTCACTCACTTTGTTTCAGTTGTGAAGCCAAGAACATGGAAGAACAGCAGGCAGTGTTTCCAAAATCTCCACAGTAGCTTATGCCATTAGCCATGCAAGAGCTGCACTTGCAAAAAGCCGCAAGAGAACAAACTGGTTTATGCCAGCAGAGGTCAGTGGGTGACTCTCTTGCCAAATGTTTCGGATGCACATTGTATAGAACAGCTAACGTTTCCATGTCAGCTACATTCCCCCACACTGAAACCCACTCTTCCACTAGATGCAACCATTTTGCCCTTTTCGATCCCATTAGCCTACCCACGCAAATGATGCTGATGCTTTGTTATCTCTTTGCTTTTCTCTTCAAAATACGTTTTAGGTTTCTGGCACACAACAAAAAAGGTATATTAGCCCACGAGGTTAGGAAGGGAGAGGGGGGTAATTTCCAAAACTAACGCCTGTTTTTAAAAGTTCCATTGCAGCTCCCTACACTGGTGTAACTGGTTAAGGAACGACAGCCTGTGAAGCACCACTTCAATGCTATTTTGTTTAGTGGCCAATACAGCCCAAACCACGACACAGATATAAACCGTGAACTCTTTAACTATTTGTAAAGTTAATATCAACAGTACTTAAGTAACTGTGGTACAGAGGCGTGGGGAAAAAGGCGTATTGCGACACCTCAAAATCGCCATGTAAACTGTGCACTAACATACTACACAATTACATGCAAATTTATTCTCTGTGACAAAAGGTAATGTATCTACATAAAGCTCTTAGTGGAGAGTAACGACCTGAGGATTCTACCAGCAGCAGAGCACATCCGAGGAGAGCTCAGTCACTCTGCTTGGTCACTTCTTTCCCCTTTCCTTTCTCGCTACAGGTTGGCTTTGTGTACTCCTCTGCCACAGTCTCAGCTAACTCCTCTCCCCCAACCCAGCCATGCTGACACAAAAGCAAGCAGCCCAAGTGGCAGAAACAGCCTTCAGCACGGTTCAGGCTGTCCCCAGATCAGACCCCCCAGGTAATTCTCTGCTCCAGCACAAAACTCCCAACTTAAAAATATATATAACAGCAGGTACTCAAATTTGTCTGAAATGATAATATCCTCCTCATCCTTCTCAGCTCAGGATGTAAACATCTACTTTAAAAAAAAACCAAAAAAACGCAGAAGGGTAAGCACATAGCACGTGTGCTTATAGTCTATCTAGCCTGAAGTCAGCACCTATATACTTCTACCATCACAAGTTAGTCAGCCAGTACCAAGCAACTTCATGGAAGCAGCACAAACATCAGGGCAAGCCTGGTTCAGGGACACACAGCTCGGGAGAAAAAGACATCTGAGCCCCACTGCTCCCCCAGGGAGAAACCGACTCCTTTACTTCACAACAAAAGTCGACCTGAAAGGTGGTAAAGTCTAAGCACCACTATAATGGGCTTTTTAAAAACAGTTAAGAGGCAAAAATTCTAACCCAGAATTTTTTTATTTTCAAAATAAAAAACTTTGTACAGAACATCGTAGATCTGAGTAAATCTTAATACAGCAGTCTCCGCGATATGACGCAAGGGTTTGCTGTTACAACAGTCCTTTCACACTCTAGCAATCAGAAGGCAAGCCCAGCAAATCGAAAAGAAAAAAAAAAATTAAAAATCAGTCTTCTCTGTCAGAACATGTATTTTTAGAGTTCCTTCTTCATGAAATGTACCTAGAGGGTAGAACGCTTACCACCTCAGATTGCACAGCTATTCACACCATAGAAACACACAAAGAGAGGACAGGAGATTTTCAGTAAGACAAATTATTTATGAAACAGAACTGCAAGTCTGAGACATAAATATCTTTTGTTTCTAGATTCCTCTCTCCTCCCCTCCCACACACTGATGTAATTCCCAGAAAGGTATAAACTGTGGATCATTATGTATACACACAGTGCAAATACTGGGCAAGCAGAGAAGTTGATAAAATACCGGTGCTCAATAAAAGCAAGTTGATTCTTCTACTATTCAACTGTACATTATTTATAACATCGCATTCTAATCCTCATCCAAAGCCTATACAGCAGTTTCCATAACCAAACTAAGTGCATTTATACACTTTGTGGTTCGCTTCTCCGGATGCAATTCTCACAGCACCTTCTTTCCTACGGCACTGAGTACAAAAGACCCCATCCACACACAGCACATTAGAATTCTTCAGCTCCATTTTTGCAGCATTCATGCTTCATTTACAACATCATGAGCAATATCCTTCTACAGTCATGCAGAGCCAGATAGAGAAATACAGCTGGACAGTTAAGGAGGAGACCGCAGCACTAACCACATTTGTTAAGTGCTCACAACTTGCACGCAACCCATTACATCTCCCTTTTTATTTATTTTTGAAAGCCTTTCTGATGAGGCAATCGTTCTTCCTCATCTTTTACTACAACCAGGGTGTCTCTTGAGAACATTATCTATTTACATTTATGCTGCTTCACGCAACTGGAAGAATAACTGATTTTAAGCTGGACTGTGGCTTAGAAAGTCCTTGCTTTTTAATTTTTTTCAGAAGTAAAAAAATTCAGGCTTTTGATTCCAGTGACAGTCATTGCCTTTTTTCTTGATAACCAAATTCAGGAAGTTACCATCTTTCATCCACTTGTAGTTGGCCAATAGCCACACGAACCACTACCCCTCTACTTAATCAAGCCCTGGTCTGGAGGCATCCCACTTCCCCAGGACCAGTGTTGATTCTGCAAAGAAGCAGTTCTGCAGTTGCAGCAAAAGCAGGAAGAAGGGAAACCACAAACCCAGTAATTTACAAATGGTCCATCATTCTGTCCTAGACAGAGCAGTCACTCTACAATATATGCCAGTACCTTCACATCAGTGGCATCACCAGTGGCTAATGCTGGTGCCTCCTCTCATCTGACAAAAATACTAAGTGCCACCCCCAACTACTTCTGCTGCAATTTTTAAGTCACTTGGAGAATCTCCCTTAAAACGGCCAATGCGCACTTTGAGTACTCTATAAAACCAAATATTAGTGCTTGGAGACTGCTCGGCTGCAACTTTTAGGGCTTCCTTTTTGAACTTAAGAATGTGTTGTTTTTTTTAGAGAATTCTTAGCCTCTAATTCATCATTTATGTTCAGTAAGAGTCTTATTACAGCAGAAGTTGGCCTGGAGTTAAGCACACACCTTTCCCCGCTTGGTTCTGTGGGGAACAGTGCCTTGAATTTTCAGAACATCTGAATCTTTTTGTGATCAACTTCAAAGGATAAATAAACCTGCAGCACAGATCACTGCATGAATAAAACTCTAATGACTTAAAGCCCCATCTCCTTTCAGGAAAGAAAAAAAAAAATTATTGGCATGAAAGCAAGGACTGATGCTATGTGATTTGCAAAGTCGTTTAAAAAGAAAACAATGATCTGTAGGCAAAGACCTTCATTAAACAGTTTTCCCAAGTATGATTTGCACTGAGATAAGTGAAAGTTCTTTATCCTTTTTTACCCAAAAGGGGAGAGAAGGAAGGCACTGGCTTTGTAATCTCATTTCATTAGACAATTCACTGTAGGCAATATTACATTGGTGAAAGAGTATGTAATTCCAAGGCAGTCACAGCTTCAGTCTTCCATTCCAAGTTCTTGTTTCAGACTGAAAGACAAGTAGAAACATGAGTTAGCTTGTAGCAAAACGATGTTTGGAAACTTTAGACAAATTAGTAGAAGCCCTGACAACTAAACACAGCTGAAGTTGAGAGCCAAAGATAAAGTGGATATGCCACTTGTTTTGGGTAAGAACCAACATGTCAAAAAAATCATATGGCAAAATCTCTGATTCTGAAGGCAACATGGACTGATCCTGAGATTTACCTGACAAACTGGCATGTGGAAAGCTCCCGTCTCTTAGCTTTGAGCTGCTTATCTGCCTACAGCAAAGCCACGCCACTGACACAACAGCACACTTACCTTTTCAAGTAGGCATGGACATTGTCATAGCCATGGTACTTGGCCAGATAGACCAGGACACCTGTAGCACATCGGCCATCTCTCTGTCTGCAGAAGCTACAGTTGCAGATTCCACGACATGGTGGGCACCTCCAGGTCTAGACAAAAGACAAGAAAACAAGCCTTTTTAACTGAACTGGAATGCCAGGCACGATTCACACCTGCAACTTAAAAGAGGTCTGTGCTTCACACCGAGTTCTGCAGCAAACATCAGTGCTGCAGAAGTTGTCTAAACCAGTACAAGAGTACAAATTATTCTGTAAGGGATTAAACCATTTGCCTGTCTTGCACATAACCACGGGAACCATTCCATTCTGCTCAACTCCTGCACCGCTTCCACAGCCCACAGCAGCAGCACTCTGTCCACAATACAGTTCCTTTCCATAGGACATTAAGCACCAATGCAAGGCAAAAGAGAATACTATTCTGATGCTCAAATACAGGAATATTTTGGCAGCTGTTCTGCTCTCATAGTTTAATCTTGCAAATAAAGCTAGAGAAGTAGTAACTACAGGGAGCTGTACACTACACAAGGTTCTGTGATTCAGTTTGAATCAAACCAGGACTTGCATTACGTCCTACAGCAGTGTAAGCAGCTCCCCTACTAAAACTCTTTTGCTATGAGTAACCAATGCACCTCTCTGCCCAAGTTAAGCCCAAGTTAAGCACAATAAAAGCAATATTCAGAGTTGTCTTACCGGATCCAGCAACGCCGTTCTGACATCTTCCCCATACCTGTTGCGGAGGCACGGCCCACAGAACTGCCCCCGCACTCCCACACAATCAGGGTTACGACAATTTGTCTTGGTGTCTAGGGTTTTTTGGCGACACTGATGACAGGTGGATCCCTAGAACACAGGGAAAGTAATGTAGGAGACCAGACATTCAAAAGGCTCTTTAGTTAGCAAGACTGTTTTAAGATTGTATCTGCAGTGTCCATTAATCGCCTTCCTCATCTAGTATCAGCTAAGTATTACAGTTGTTCCAGGGTGAAAGCAAGCTAACTGGCTTGGTAAAGACTATTCCATAAATTCGGGGAAAGATAAGAGATGATGTCTCAAAATCTCAGGCATACTTCTCCCAAAAATCACATCCTTCCTCTCAGTGAGAGGGAGTCTGCTCTATTTGATGTTAAACCACAAGCAGGGAATAACAATAACATGACTTCACAAAGTACACATTTCACAAACTTGGAATATACCTACCATGGCCCTGTTATACACTTTATCTCTTACAGATCCACAAATATTATTCAGCTCTTCCGCTGTTATCTCCTCGACTGGGCGTACAACGTGTGGAAAAGCCATGGCACCACGGTGACCCCTCCTGGGAGTTTGGGCTTCATGCTGAATAATGAAGACACAATACTTTTAGTAATAGTTTCAGCAAAAACTACACAAACAAGGTAGGGATCTTCAAAGCAATGCCAACGTCTCAAATACCCAACGTATATTTAAACAAGAGATACAGATCTCTGCAAAGACAAATGATCTGTCACCTTCAAGGTGCAGAAATGCTCCTGGATCTCGCTGAATTCCTGGTGCAAGAGGAAGTGATTTTTCAAGGATAAGGCAGGGGGAAATGGAGAACACATACAAATATTCTATTTTCTGTACTTCTTCCCAGGCCACAGACGACTCATAATCTTGATCAACTCTGTATGAGTTTCTATTTTCTTGACAGGATGCAAAACCACCTTCATGACCAACCTGCAACAGGACAACTAGATCCTCAACATACCTCCAGGAACTCATCAGATATCTTTCTTCTTCTCACTAAGATGTACCGATCATCCTCCTCTTCTTCTGGCAAAGGAGTAGGAGGACCTTCAATCAGGGACCTGGATCTGGTGTGAGGCCGAGAACTTCGGTCTGGGTTTCTCCTCAAAGCACTTCTGGGCAATGAACATCTTGGAAGTCGTTTTGGTCCCTGGTAAAGTTTAAAAGCCCCTAATGAAATGGGGAAAACCCCAGACAGCTCCAGTCCCTAATATGAATTTCTTCCCCAGAAGACATGCCTTCCTTCTGTCTTTCCCAAAAATGAGGTCTCCCCCGTCCCAAATCAGAAAACGCAAGGTAAAAGCATCTTAGGCAAATTCACCTTGGGCATTCTGCTAGCTGTGGAGAAATACTCAAAAGCACATTTGTGTGCATGCAGATGTAAGATACAGTAATTCCCCCATGCAGCAGCAGAACTTGTGTCTACAAGGAGCTGCAGCTTCTGGTGGTGTTCCCATCTTCACACAGCTAACAAGTAAATTAGTCAATTCACAACCCAACTTTCTTAAATTACCTAGTTAGGGCAAATGTCAGGTTTTCTTCAAGGCTCCAAACTCACAGAATATTCAGGGTTGAGCTTCAAAGCCTGAGCTGCCTCCTTATCTCCAGCCTTTGTATAAATACATATTTACACAGTGCCTTTTTTAGTTTTATCGGCCTGAGGAGACACCTAACTTAGGAATTAACCTGCTCTGCATTATGCAGTGGCAAATTCAAAAGAGAACTGCACAATGAGGATGCCTGTTTTAGAAACCAACAAAATTTTGACCTGGACTTTGATTCACACCGTTTATTAAGTTTTTTTAGTTTTGTAATGTCAGAATTTGACTCTCAGAAATCTGAAGGCAAATATAGTAAGTTTATACTTACATGACTGACAGCTGGCAATGATTTTCTCCCACCAAAGATACCAGAAACATTTTGCAACTCAGCCATTAGCTTTGCAAGCTAACAAGGGAAAGAAAAAGGAAGCAGAGCCTTAAAAGGGTGTTTATGTGCTATTACAGACTATTAGATTAAGGCAAATGGCTAGAAGTACAATCACTTATAGGAAAAGCAGTCACTCTTCAACTTTTTACTTTTATGCCTTATTTATGTTCTAGTGACTGCAAAAAATTTGAAAGTGCTCAAACTTAATACAGTGAAGCCCTATCCTTGAGACTTGCAGCCTATCAATTTTTACATGCCAGTGGACATATCAGATTTAAATATTAGGAACGTAAATTCCTCTTAATGCATTCACATAATTTCCATTAGAGGTAATTTGAACAACAAAGAGGTCCCCTAAGAAACAAGGGAGAAGAAGGGGGAACCCCCAGGGAGACACTGATACTTGCCATGGCCTTGTTTTCCTTTATGTTTAAAGCTCTTTTTTCTAAAAACATGGCACCCTTTTCTTCAGAGTCAGAGTCTGAATCTGGAGCAGGCATCAGCTTTTCAGGAAGAGGTTCTATCTCATGCTTCCCCCTCTCGGATCTTCGAGGTGGAAACTTCATGGCTACTTTTAGAGGAATAGGGTATTTCCGCCTTCTCTGAGCTGCCTCACTTTCAGCACTTGAATCATTCTCCTCTGAATCCAGTTTCTGTTAACAAACCAGAATGGAAGCATATAAATCCAAGTGAATTGCTCTGCAATTACATACAGTTCGGCAATATTTTGTTTGGGGTGGTTAAAGAGCCTATCTGGCTAAAATCTAGACATTTGAGTCTCTGGTGCTCTAGTATATTTCAAGGGGGTGGAGGGAAAAAGGGGGCAGTAGGAGCGGGAGGTGCAGGGATAAAAAACTCTCAGGGAAAGGCACACTGTATTGCCCCAACACAGGAGAAAAAGGAGCTTGGTTTCGGTTGCAGCAGTCTCAGCTGCCACTTGCAGGTCTAAAAGCAAAGACAGCTTGCGCATGAATGTGAGATAGAGAATTGTCTTTAAAGGGCTCAATTTTGCAACATATTGTATTTGGCTGTAAAAAAAGCCACTACACAGTTCTCAGCACAGGGTCAAAACCAAGTTTGTAAGCTGTCGAGAACAGCCATCTCACAATATCAACAATATAAAGTGAAAACTTCTAGTCAGTCAATGAAATAATTATGAATAAAATTCCAATATTTTCTTATATTTAAATTCCCATGCCTCACTTAACTTGGCAAGAACGAAGGGTTCTGCGAGGACAGAAGTTAAATTCTTTAGTTAAAAGCCCATTTTGCGATAAGGTATGACTTTTAGGTTTAGACTCAAGAGTCTTTATTTTGGTCATAAGTAACAACAGACTTCCTGCTTCATATCCATAGACCATCAATCTCAAATGACAATCCCTATTTGCACAACATTTTTATCAAACCAGGTATGCGGTTCTGGTTGCCCATTATGTGTAGTTACTGATTCCTTTTCTTACGTATCTATTCCAGCTTTGTCTCTTTCTTATTGTCTTTACTATTGTGTACTATTTAACGTGGACACGTCCTCCTCCAATCAGACATTATTATTTTCTAGTGATTCCTCAGCATGTTTGGAAGTTACGACAAACCTATTTTATGCCAAACATAGTATCACTTCTGTCTTCTCTACTAAATACCAACTGTTGGTCTTTTTAAGCAACAAAACTGCTCTTGCACGATGTCAAGGAAAAGCAGGAAGGTGGATTTCACTGCCTATCACTATTTATCTATTGCTAAAGAAGTACAGCAGTTCCTGTTACACTGTCAGAGTGCAGGTCTGGTTGCATGTCAGTACACACAGAAATTCTTCTCAGGTGTGCTGGAGTCCAAAGGCTACCATAACATTTCGTATTAGAGTCTAAAGAGTAACATCCAGCAAGGACAGTTTGAGGGGGTATTATATTTCAAAAACCATATGGCAGATTTTATTCTCATCTTGCAAAGCTCGGGAGTTTGGAGGCTTTTTACAGAGACAAAAAGAAAAAGAAACTACAGGTACTCAGCCTGTACATTAAATTAGATAAAATGATGCCTCTTCCTGACAACATTCGACTTCCAAGCTAAAGCTGTCGTTATTTTTCAATTAAAAATGTCTAAGAATTTAAACTTAAAATTGCAAACTAAAATCAGCTGTCTTACCAATGCATCTTGAATCTCATTTTCTGAAAAGCCACAGAAGGATTCATCATCAGAGGCTTCGTGAAAAATTTTTGCCAGTTCTTCTGTCATATCCGACCTAAACTTGCATTTCTATGAAGAATAAAATATTCTTTAACTGAAATTGTACAGAAAATCATTCACATTTATAACTGCAGTATAAGCAAATAGCTTTTTTAATAAAGAAAAAAAATAGTTAAGGCATTTAACAAGGGGTTTCAGAACTGCAGTTGCAAATTATCAGGCATGTTAGGTTAGGTGACATTTCAAAGGCTAGAATAAATAGCTAATTTGTTTCCAACAATTACCACCTAGAAGCACAAGCGAAGAGTGAAATGAAATTACAGCATATAGCATAGATTTCTAACTACTACACAAAAACATAGGCAGAGCAAGCAGTTTTAATCATGCACAAAACATTTACTAGCTTTACACTTTTGCAAGCTTTACTAGCATTGCACATTCAGTTTTGTTTGTTCTTGTACTATACTTACTGTGTTTGCAAAATTATCAGAACCAAAACTGTCACAACTGTCATCAGAGGATGAGGATGTTTCCATGGGAATCAGTTTTGTATTTCGGAATGCTGTTAAGCTTTTCCTTCCTGAACAACCTCGGCGCTGCAAAAGGACAATGGCAACACCATTAGCAGAAGAGACCCATTGTAGCTCTAGCTTTTAAGAACATCTTTAATTTGAAGTTTAGGAGGTTGAACATTTTAGGATGTTTAACAGTCTTGAACACAAGTCACAGAATTATCATCAGCTTTTAAGTAATTCCTGAAGTTAGGAACGGGAGTAGTTTCTGCTCTGACACTTGATCATTGTTATAGATGAGTTTTGTTCAGTACTTAGAAATACTTGTTTTAAGGAAACAGCCAAGGGGGAAATACACACATATCCTTCCTTCATACCCTTCCCCGCTCATTATAAACAACGCTGGGGAAAAGTACAAATACACAAATAGTACCTAGAAATCTGCTTTGATTTATTAATGACTGTTAGTTTGAGGCAAACACTAAATACACCCCAGCCAATAAGGAAGGGACTCAGGATCACACCCGCACAAAAGAGGAGCTTTGAAACAACTGTTCTGGACACAGCAGCTTGCTGCTTTGCTAATTTTACTCCCAGGCTGAGCTCCCTTTCTCGACGGGCCTTCAGGTTGTCGTTTCCCCCGCAAAACTTCCTCCTGGCAAGGCCCCATTTCACCTCCCCGGGGCGAGGCGGGGCCCAGCCCGCTGCACCCCTGCGCTCAGCCATCACCGCCGGCTCACGGCCCGGGCCACATCTTCCACAAATACGGTTTGACCGGCAACGAGCCTCAGCAGTCTGCAGACCCCGGCCTCCCCCAGCTCGCCGCTCCCCGACGGGCCGGCCCAGACGCACCCCGGGCCTTGCCCGGGCTTCACCGGTGCTGAGGAGGAACAGGGCAAACTGCCCGGCCCGGCCGCGGCCCCAGGCACAACGGGGCCGTTTCTGGACGCGGCTGAGGGAGCTCGCGGCCGGAGACACCCCGCCGGAGGCCGCCAGCACCGGCAGGCCCAGCCCAGGGTGCCCGGGCCCGCCACCGCCACCCCTTCGCCCCTCGGGGGAGTCCCGGGCCGCTGTCCCGCCTCCCGCTGAGGCAGAGCCGCCTTCCCCCCCCTCACGCACCCCCGCATCCCGCGG